GAAGCATGTTTACCACTGTGTCCGTGTGTCGTATCACCTTTCCTTTTAATTACACCCTTTTATTCATTTGAGAATTGATTGTTGCAAAGTTTTACAAGTGGAATTTTTGCCCATCAATCTCACCTGATTCAGGACAGCTGCTCAACAGTCTGTGATCGTCGTTGTCTGATTCTCCTTTTCATGATGGGCCGAGGCCCGAGACAGATTTGGGGCCGTATTCACAAAACATCTTAAGTATTTGCTCTTAGAGTATTCCACAAAGCATTTTAGCACTAAAACCAGCTCCTTAATCTGTGAAAGGTTAGGGGAAGTCAAGAGGACTCTTAAGTCAATAAAACCAATTAACAAAAAATCCTAAAATTGCTTTTTCCTCAGCAATCCGCCCCAAAGACACTGTACACCATTGAGGCAATAGGCCTTGGGTGCTGAGCCTTTTCTTCATAAATGCAATAAATATTTTGATTTATAGATTTTAATCTGCGATGACATTACATAAAAATGTCCAATTATGTACAGGCAAAATGCATTGAATGATGGAGAATAAAACATTGCGGTCAAGTTGAAAATAACGTCCCATTGTCTGCACCGATAGCCTTGTGTGCAGGTCGGGTGAGCCGAGTTCAGTTTCAGCTCGTGGACCTTTCCCGATCCCGTCCCCCTTTTCTCTCTTCCACCTTGCTTTCTGTCACTGTCCTATCATAATAAAAGGACAAAAACACAAATAAATCTTTAATAAATAAATAATGTCCGATTACATGTGGCAGTTGTTTTCACGCGTGCACACTTACAAATGATAGAATGGAGTAAAAGAGTAAAATAAGCATATTTGGCGTGCCATCGGAGGGGATTGAGGGCTCAGAGTTCGGAATTTAGCCCAAATCCAGAGTATTTCCCTGTCCCTGGCTGGGAAAAGGAACCAGCCGAGAGCGAGGAGTTGGGGTGGCGGAGGGATGCAGAAAATTTGTCAAGGTAGGTGAGTCGTCTGTGTATATGCCTCCTCTGGAACTGATTAGATAGACCATTGGAATGTGCTTTCCCGAACTTTGTTTATAAAACAAAATTTGTCTCTTGAATTCTGTAATCTCTCGAGTTGCAGACATGTAAGAGGCTGACAATTAGCTGAACATATACTTGTTTAATAGTGACCCTTAGCCTACATTTTAAAATCTTTATTTGAATATGGCAACATAATACCTCGTTCTACAATATTTCAGTGATTAAATCACTGACAGAGACCCCCTCATCAGCCAGTCGTGTTGACATCATCCATAGCAATGACGTCAACCCCACCCTTTCTCTTAGCTTAAGACTTCTCTCTATTCCTTAGTAAAAGTTGGTCTCAGCAGCTTTGTGAATAGGTTTTAAGAGAAAACTCTTAACTAAGAACTTTTACTGCTATTTAGGAGAACTCTTAGTGGTAAGATAAAATGTTTTGTGAATACGACCCCTGGACTGCAGGCAGGCCAGTCAAGCACATCCCTTCTAATGTGTAACGTTAGTGTATCTAGAAACCACTCTGTTCTGAGGCCTGGCATTGTCTTGCTTCCCAGGAAAGATGTCATCTTGATGGCAGTTGGCCTATATGTCTGTACAATCCCAATACACACCTCCACACATCACTGATGGACTCCCATACAATGACAGATGTTTGCTTTTGCACCTGTCACTAATGAAAGTCTGGATGGTCCCTTTCGTCTTTGGGACTGAGAAATCAATGTCCATTTTTTCCAAAAAACAAGCTGAAACATGCTGTAACCTTACAACAACAAAGGCGTAGGTTGATGACTCAAAATTCCAGTTGAATTATGGAACTTATCGTCAAGCTTATGGATGACTGTGGTATGAAGTAGGGGGCGATTGCGTAATGAGAGACAGATATCAGCGCCACAGCGAGTCCCGCGGATATAAAGGAATACGGACATTTAATTCTACCAAACTAACGTTACCCGCAAGTGCTGAATTACTCACACAGGTCAGTTTATTTGACGAATGAAGCTTGTGAGGTAAAGCAGCGCTGTTTCACTTGGTCTACTCTACACTATCACACTAAACTGCATTTGAGTGTGTTGAAAGTTAATGTTATTCTATGTGTTAGTTTGTTGGCTGTATGAGACTAGCAGTAAGCTAGATCAACATTAGAATAACATAGATCATATTCTAACATTTCATCATGTTAAACTACCGTATTTAACATTGATTAGTTTTATGTACATTTGCTCACCTGTCTAATCAAGTACATGTAAGAGCTCTGTCAAGTTGAAGTTAGTCACGTCACGTGGAGCTCTCGGCATCTCGAAACCGCCATGCTGATACTGATCCTCGTTTTAGTTCTCCTTTTTCCCCAAACTCTGCTTGCCATGGTCCATAATGTTTGAAAAAAACAACAACAATAGCGTGAGCGTGCAGCTAGAAGTAACGCTGTTGTCCACGTCTGTCGCCATGGTTACTATGCTCGTACTGCACGAGCGGAAACCATGGATAACCCGGATATTACGTCAGTGACAGGCGACAAGTGAAAATTGGCCAGGACGGCCAATTATTTAAAATTGGAATTTCTCCGAAATAAAAAATCTTTGGGAACTTTTGGGATATCGTAAGTACACAACTGCAGGAAATATATCACACAGTGCAAGTGATTTTTGGATATTTTATTACAAAATTCTTACATATTGTACCTTTAAGTGAAAACGGTTTTGCAAAATACTCCCAAGCCAATGTGGCTATTTAACACAGTAGCATGATGGTTCCTCATGCAGTGCCATCTGAGGGCTCGAAGGTCATGCACATTCAACAGGGGTTCCTTGCCTTGCATAGCCTGGGATTTCTCTGCATTTCCTGAATCTTTTCACAATATTATGTATGGTAGATGGTGAAAGACCATAATACTTTGCAATCTTTCATTCAGAATTGTGATTTTTGAATTGTTTGACAATTCTCTCATGAAATTTGGCACAAAGTGGTGAGCCATGACCCATCTTTGCTTGCAAAGACTTGAGCTTTTGGTGGATGCTCCTTATACCCAAACACAACCCCCTCACCCATTACCAATTCACCTGCTAATTGTGGACTGTTTCAAAACAGTTAAACTTGGATATTCTGTAATCTTTTTACTTTTATTTAGCCTCTGCCCCAACTTTTTTGGAGTGTGTTGCAGCCATCAAAATCAAAATTTCTTTATATTTACAAAACACAATTTGGCCAGTGAAAACATTGGTTTTTTTGTACTTTTGTGAGGTAAATAAAGTTTCAAGAGAATAGAAAAAAAAAATCAGTTTATCGATTTGATTGCATTTCACATAATGCCCCAACTTTTCTGGAATTGGGGTTGTAGTATAAAATGAGTATTTTGGTTTAATTAATTTTGTTTAATGTTAATTCTCGTCAACTACAATGCTGCGGAATGGTATTCTATGCCATTTTAGTCAAGAGTAAAACTACAAAACAGTACGAAACGCTATCAAAGTGCCTGAAAAAAAAATTAAATGACCTAACCGTTATAGCCTACAGTATGTTACTTTAAAAAATGTTATTAATTGCAATGATGCTAAGTTTTTGTTAATGCATTGCAATGATGTTAGGATTATTGCAAATTCTATTTCTATCCAAATTGTATCTGAATTTCCAAATCAAATCAGCATAGTAAAGCACTCTTAGAATGGAAGTTTTCCAGAGAATTTTTCAAGTTGTTGTGCAGCAGTCCTATGTCTGGTATACATTACGCGATTTAACATTTGTGACATTAAAATGTTACCATGACATTAAAATTATGTTTTTATTGTGTTAGTTTAGTAAAATCATCTGCTGAAGTCTATTGCAAATATATTCATACATGCATCTTCCTACGGTCAGTCAACTTGCTCTCGAGACCGGTGTTTTGTCCACTCGAATATGGCAGACGGCTTAAGCCTGGTTCACACGGGACGATTTTAAAATGGTCGGCCGATTTTCCAAACCTGAGAGACCCCACACACGGCGATAAAAAATCAGGGGTCTAACCGTTTTGGTCGTACCGTGTGTGGTGCGCAGCCACACGGCAAAATCAACACATCACACACAAACCGATTTGACTCCCGAGCATTCCCAGGTCAGACGGAAAATCTCGCAAAATCCCTCGAGATCAAACGTGACTTCAGAGTAAACAATCATGGCGGACGAAGAGGATGCAGTGGCGATAGTTTGTAGTTTGTTTTTAACCGAATCCATCTCCGACGTCCACCGGACTTTCTGGTGCGCCATGCCGCCGGCTGTTTTGATTTTGTTTCCCGGTGCTTCCTCTGCGCCTCGTCACCTCGCTTTCTGATTGGCTATACGCCACAGTCCACAAGCTGCGTGCTCGTTTGTCCCCGGGGGACACCACACATGAGGAGAAATCGGGCCAAAATAATCCAACATGTTGGATATCCCCGATTTGGGATCGGAGCGGTCACGACGTCCTTCCGGGCAGACGAGAGCACTCTTAACACACCACACATGGCAGGTATGTCTGATCAAATTATTTTACGATAATCGGAGCATCCTTAAGATTGTCGGAAGGGGGAAATCGGGGCTAAAATCGGCCTAATTATCCTGCCGTGTGAACCAGGCTTTACATAGAGTGGCCCATAGAAACAGTAACATAACAGCATCTATGTTTATATATATGGTTCCAACACAACAAACTCACGTAGAAACATGCGCCTTGTTGCCAGGAGACACGTGACAAATGAAAATAATATCCATTCTAAAATTGGCTCAAAATATCAAACATGTTTGATATCTTCGGTGGCCACCATGCAAATTTCTGTAAAATCTTCAACTTCCTAAAATTGGAAGACTGGCTCTGACTTTTGGCAGACTAATCCAGACTGCAAACGGGGCAAAAATCTGGACAAAAGTCGTAGTTGTTGCGAATTTTTCAAGAGTTTAACTCTTTACAGTTCCTTTAAATTCCTTTAGTGAGAGTGTTTTAGTCAAATACTCAAGTCTGTCTTTGACAAGGAGACCATTTAAATTCAGTGCACTGAATAATACTTTCTTGCTGTCGGTCCAGTTGACAGGATACTTCAGTATTTAAAAAAAAAACAGCATGACAGCAGTTCATCATACTTCCACGCTGGCATTTGTGAATCCCTTTTTCCCTTCATTCACAAGCAAGGGTCTTTCTGTCCGGGTGTGCCAAACCAGTACCTGAAACCAGAACCCATTTTTCTTTTACAAACCTTGTAAATTCCAAAAACAAAAAAGGAACTAAAATGATTTGGAAAGGTTATGAAGATTCAGGTTTAGGACTCGACTCACCTTTGTGCAATTGGAGGCTTTGGGTTCCAGGTCACTGAGAGTGATCAGATCCTGTAGCAAACTACTCTCCTGGTATCCACCTTTTACCCCTTTTAACTTAAAGTAGGCTTGAGGTTTGCTGAAGATGAGCTGAAGGTTCAATGCAAACCCAGCCATGTCAATGGCAAAAGGTCGACGAGGGTCAAACACTGTCCTCCATCCGAACACTTTGCCTTGAGAGTTGATTTTGGGGGACTCGTACCGGAGACCTCCAACGAAGGCGACCGGCCAGACAGATGCTTTACGAGTCCAACGCATCTGCGGTGCAAAGAGGATGGAATAGGAAATATGAAAGAACACAAACTATGAACAGCAGATCAAATGTACTGTACCTCCTCAAACAGCTCCAAGCTGTAAGTGTTGTCATCATCTGCAAAATACACGACTCCTTTATGACCCGAGCTGGGGTTGATGTTCTGCCTCAGCCAGCGGAGAGCCAGGTTCCTCTGCATGGTGCCACGAGGAATGCGTGCATTTCTGGGCTTCTTTAGCACTTTGAGATTCTGAGGCGTCTCTATGTTCAAGTGAGTGTAATTCAATCCAGTGTTCTCCAGCAGTCTGGACACCAGCGCCGTCCTCTCCGCCGCGTCCTCCACCACTAGCCAGTGAAGGTTGGGGACGTGTAGGAGAGTGTTGGTGAGGCGGGTCAACTCTGCCTTCTGGACGGGCCTCCTGTAGGTAGGAGTTATTACGTGAAGAGTTGGCAATGCATCAGACCAGGGTGGAGAGCGGCTGTGGACGTACTTCATCTGGGTGACCTCTGTGACGTGCTTGTTTTTTATGATGCAGGGATCATGAAGTCTAAAGTTTCTTTGGTGAGCTTTACTGACTCCAGTTCTGTTAACTGTCCATAAGAAAATATAAAAAATAAAGAGTTTAGAGTAGGAATGGACAATATATCGGTACCACATTATTAGCTGATATACGTTTTTAGCAGTTTTGGTGGATATTGGATATTACTGGATATATATACTATTGTGCATTTTTATTTTGTGGCACATCCAGTGTCACGGTACACAATGCTTGAAGTTATTAAACAATAGTGATGTGGCATTTTATATCAAGCTTGTCAAAAAAAAAGGTGATCATTTGTTCATTTACTCAGTAATTGAGCAAATTACTTGCAAATTCCAGAAGGTTGTAGGCATTTCATAAAGGAGTTTGTGAGCTAATCTGTTAAATGTGACCACATTGTTACTATCGTACTGCCAAGTGTCCGAAATCACCCCCTATACCCCTAAATAGGGCATTATTTGAGGGGACAGCCATTTGTAGTAGTGTAGTAGTGTTTCTTGTAGTAGAAACCATAGTGAACATTATAGAGTGCACTCAATCAATCCCAAAATGCACCGCAATAACGAGTGTACAACTGATGTTCACTCAACCATTACAGACATACACTCACCTAAAGGATTATTAGGAACACCATACTAATACTGTGTTTGACCCCCTTTCGCCTTCAGAACTGCCTTAATTCTACGTGGCATTGATTCAACAAGGTGCTGAAAGCATTCTTTAGAAATGTTGGCCCATATTGATAGGATGGCATCTTGCAGTTGATGGAGATTTGTGGGATGCGCATCCAGGGCACGAAGCTCCCGTTCCACCACATCCCAAAGATGCTCTATTGGGTTGAGATCTGGTGACTGTGGGGGCCATTTTAGTACAGTGAACTCATTGTCATGTTCAAGAAACCAATTTGAAATGATTTGAGCTTTGTGACATGGTGCATTATCCTGCTGGAAGTAGCCATTAGAGGATGGGTACATGGTGGCCATAAAGGGATGGACATGGTCAGAAACAATGCTCAGGTGGGCCGTGGCATTTAAACGATGCCCAATTGGCACTAAGGGGCCTAAAGTGTGCCAAGAATACATCCCCCACACCATTACTGTCAAGCTTTGCTTTTTTGTGCACAATTTCCCCGCTTGAAAAGGACAGACACATCATCAACGAAGGCCTTAACTGGATTCCACTCTTCTTTTTATTGTATCAATTATGATGAATGTTCACATAGCCTTTAACAGAAATAAAAATACAAAATATGTACATGAATAGCAAGTAAAGCTTATTAAACATCCGTTGTTGTCATTTTTTGTATCTCTTTTGAAATGGAGTACTCTCAAACGATATATTAACAAGCTTCATACACTTTATCACATTTTTAATATGAAATCAGATCACGTTTAACAATCTGCTTAATCACACGTGAACTTCAGAAATAATTTGTAAATAATCCGTCACTCTCTCCCGCGATTAAATCGAAATACAAACCAAAGGTACACAAATAAAACACCAGTAACTTAATAACATTAAGGCTTGCTACACAGAACTAAATTTAGCTTGAAATAGTCACGTAATTAGCAGTAACAGAAAGTAGGTCATGGAAACTTTCCGTGCTGAGCACAGACATGCTGCGTCACAAACTAATCCGGGATTTGCCGCTACACAAGCGTCATTCTCTTCCATTCACAGAAGCAAACGAATTATTAAAGTTCTCACCGGCTGCCACTTCGGGATTTGACGATGTATTTACAGTTTGTGCACTTTTTCCGTGTCCAGCTGTTCAGTTTTCGACAGAGCTCGTGTCCGACTCGTCTCATACACACCAACTCTTTTTTTCTTCTCCCGTTTTCCGCCCCTTGCTCCGATTGGCCGAGATACTACTATAGTTTTTTTTTTCTCTTTTCTTGTTTATAATTAATTTATATTTTGTCCAGTTTGACTTGACAATTACACCACCACCACCACCACCAGCCTGCACAGTTGTAACAAGGCATGATGGATCCATGCATAGGCGTCATTTACGGGGGGGACGGGTGGGACATGTCCCCACCACTTTTTGCCAGGGTCGATATTGTCCCCACCACTTTTGAAACATCTCGCGTCACGGATGTACCAATACAAATAAAAAATCTCTAGTTAACTAGCAGCATTCGTTTAATTCATTTGTTAAATAAGAGGCGATCTAGCGCTGAAATGTGTTGTCTTCACTCGGACGCGCGCTTCAATCCGTTGCAGAGATTCTATTCGTTCCAGAGAAATCACAATTCAAAATGCACACAAACGTGTCCCTGCTTCTGAGGGTTCTAATCCGCACTCGTATAGTTTTTTTTCCCCATCATCAAAACCGATAATGTTTATCAGTGATAAAGTATATCAAGATTCTTGATATACAATTATCGGTTTTGATGTGGGGAAAAAAACTATACGAGTGCGGATTAGAACCCTCAACCTCCGACACGCTTGGCAAAAATTCTGCCACTGGACCATTACAGTACATACGCATCGCAGGCGGATCTATATATATATATTCACGTAAAAATTCACGATACTAACAACATTATATTAGATCTTAATATAATATTAAATTTAAACCCAAAGTACCATCACATTTTTGGTCGGACATCATCACATCTTTGTATACATTTTTATTTATTTAAATCAGTAAGCTACAGGACATCGGCGTCTTTCAAACCATGACCTGCGCGAAAGAGAAAAAAGAATGAACGCGTCATTGTACCCAGCACTTTTGAAAATGCCCTTCCGAATGCGTCTCTGTCCCCCCCACATTTCAAACCAAACTGACGCCCATGGATCCATGTTCTCATTCTGTTAACGCCAAATTCTGACTCTAACATCTGAATGTCTCAACAGAGAGACATTTTTCCAGTCTTCAACTGTCCAATTTTGGTGAGCTCTTGCAAATTGTAGCCTCTTTTTCCTATTTGTAGTGGAGATGAGTGGTACCCGGTGGGATCTTCTGCTGTTGTAGCCCATCCGCCTCAAGGTTGTGCGTGTTGTGGCTTCACAAATGCTTTGCTGCATACCTTGGTTGTAACGAGTGCTTATTTCAGTCAAAGTTGCTCTTCTATCAGCTTGAATCAGTCAGCCCATTCTCCTCTGACCTCTAGCATCAACAAGGCATTTTCGCCCACAGGACTGCCGCATACTGGATTTTTTTCCCTTTTCACACCATTCTTTTGTAAACCCTAGAAATGGTTGTGTGTGAAAATCCCAGTAACTGAGCAGATTGTGAAATACTCAGACCGGCCCGTCTGGCACCAACAACCATGCCACGCTCAAAATGGATTAAATCACCTTTCTTTCCCATTCTGACATTCAGTTTGGAGTTCAGGAGATTGTCTTGACCAGGACCACACCCCTAAATGCATTGAAGCAAGTGCCATGTGATTGGTTGATTAGATAATTGCATTAATGAGAAATTGAACAGGTGTTCCTAATAATCCTTTAGGTGAGTGTATACAGATGCCTCATTAGTGGCTGTTTCTATGGGTCGCTATACGTAACCTGTACACCATATTGGAACGGTCAAAGCCGGTCCGTGACCACTCAAGAGCAAGTTGACTGTGCGTCTGCAACCATAGTAAGACGCATGTATGAATATCTATATCTGCAGTAGACTTCAGCAGATGATTTTGCTAAACTAACACAATACAAGTCGAAGGCGTCAGCGAACACGACATTAAAAAGTTACCATATTAAAAGTAAAAACATAAAAAGGTACCATAGTAAAAACCTGTAATATTGAGTTACTACATATAAAAACACAAACCGACACATTCTCTCCTGTGAAAGGTGAGAATGTGGCATCTACGTATACATTAGGTATACATGCCCTCAACCATACATACTATACGTAGATTCCACATTCGACCGCTCCGACACACTTGCACGCCCGCCATCTTGGAACGGTCAGCGTGTCATCACTCACAGTATAAACAATGATGCTACAACATTGCACAGCTTCTGGTTGTGATACCGCAGAGATTTCAATTCCCTTAAGAAATGGGATAACCTGTCACAGATGAGAATGTGTTGGTTCGTGATTTTATATGTATTAACTCAATATTACAGGTTTTTATTACATTTACATTTAATCATTTAGCAGAAGCTTTTATCCAAAGCGACTTACAAATGAGGAGAGCAATAGAAGCAATCAAACTAACAATAGGGCAACAATACGCAAGTGCAGTGACCAGTGCCAGTTAATCCAGAACAGTACATGTAGCAAGGTGGGGTTTAAAAAAAAAATAGCTATAGAATAGTAAGTGTTAGTATTAATGGGTCAAGTGTTGACGAAAAAGATGCGTCAGCAGTTTCTTGAAAATTCTTGGGTTGATATAGGCAGGTCATTCCACCAACTTGGGACAGTCAAAATAAAGGTCTGTGAAAGTGATTGTGTTCCTCTTTGGGATGGCACCACAAGGCGCCTTTCACTTGCAGATCGCAAGCTCCTGGATGGCACCTAATGACATTATGGTAACTTTTTAATGTTGTGTTAGCTAACGCCTTCATATTGTTGTATTGTGTTAGTTTAGCAAAATTATCCGCTGAAGTTTATTGCAGATATACCCCTGGTTTCACAGACAAGGCTTAAGTCTAGTCCCAGACTAAAATGGAAATGACTAAATGGATGTGCCACAACATCTAACGGCATGTGCCAGTGGCACCATAACGTAAGATACCATACCACTAAATTCAACTTGTAGCATTTGAAAGAACGATCTTAGTATTTACCCTTCGGAACTGGAAGCAACGGGTTACCAGAACGCTGGTGCCAAAGCGTGAGGAGTAAAGTCCATGGTACTACAATCAAAACAAGTGCCAGGAAGTCCTTTCTCTTCGGCATGTCTTACCTGTGGCAAACAAGTCACCTTAGTGATTGGTATTAAACCAAATGATACAATTTAAGCTTTCAACGATTATGAAAACATGATAATTGAGATGATCTCAATTGTTCTGTTAAAAAAAGGGTTTTGTGAGGAAGAACAGTGAATGAACCAGTAAAACCAGTCAAATAAAGCAGTTTACTTAACTCACCCAAAGGCATTTATTTAGCCTACTAACCAGAGGAATCCGATGGAAACAGCGTGACATTATAACTTGCATCTGCACAAAATAACGCAAATGCACAAGTAAACATGAACTTAAATCATGTTGTAAATGCGCTCTGTGGTAGATTTTTCCTAACTTGCCTAACAGCAATAACTAAACAGACTCCAGACAATCCCTTCGAATATGCTTTAATCACGGCCGGAGGATCTCAGACAAATTTCAGAGAGAATCCCACCAGCAAAAAGAATACAACAGTTTTTATAGAAGAGGAGCATGGCAAAGTTGACAAGATACATTACATAATTTTGCTACAATATGATTGGTTCTTCATTTGCATAATTCAGCAAACCCTTCTGTTAATATGTAGCAAACTCTGGATTTCTTGATTTACTTCACTTTTCACTCAACTCAAAGTCATGAGTTTATAAATATAGATATCTGTCTAGTTTCATTTCGCCTTTTGTTATGTTCGGACATGATTCAGACACACTGACTGACTGAGTGTTTGGGGACATTTCAGGTTTCAAAAGCATATAATTGTTAATCCTGCTAGAAAAATAAATGTTGTATGATTAATTAAAAAAAAATAATCTCAGCTCTTTCTGTAATAAAAAATAAAATAATTCACAATATTGTATTGCAAGTGTACTCATTTTCACAAGGGCTGATACACGTTTAAATTAATATATAAAATATCTGACCATTTTGTTTTATATATTTTTTTTATTTTAATTCTTGTCAACTACAATGCCATTGACTGGTATTTGATGCCATTTTGCCAATAAATGACATGACTAATACTGCTCAAATTAAAATTAAAAAGTCAAATTTTAGTGAAAAGACTAAAACTGAGTGAAGATTAACACTAACTGACCAGTGAGTGTAGGTTAAAACCTTTGATTTTATAATTTTATAAACTTTATAGTTTGAAAATAAATACAATTTGTTAACAGTCAGGCACGATTTGTATGTAGGCCAGTGTTTGTCAAAATCATCCATCCGTCCATTTTCCAACCCGCTGGTCCAATGTGGCTAAGGTGTAATATCATACAGGTATAAATTCCTTTTTACTTGATTAATAAATGGTTTAATTAGGGTTTATACATAGTTTCCATGACTGAGTTCAAGATAAATCTTTTCATTATACTGGAGCTGCCAGTTTCAAATGATTATTAAACAGCAAGCACAAACTATGCAAAAGCGGCAGCTGAATTCAATCACTCGTTTCATTCCCTCCCTCAAGTGAAATATATTAGTGGACTAATGTAGGGAATAGTCAATGAGGGTATAGGGGGCGTTGTCGAATACAGCCCTGGGCATGATTTAGGCTAATCATTGCTCCCTTTTGTGTCCTGTTGGTCTAACTGAAATAATATCTCTAGTTCAAATATATTAAAAAAATAATTAGAATTTTTTAATAAGTTGAATATAATTTACTAATATGTTTTTTAGGAGTTTTCAGTATGTTGTCTAACTGAATTATTTCAGTATTTTGATTTATTATTTCGATATTATTTTATATTCCTAATTTTTTACATTGCACTACAACAAAGCTGATCATATTTATTTTGATTTATTATTTCGATATTATTTTATTTTCCTAATTTTTTACATTTATTTTTCATTTGTTTTCCAGTTAAAATATATAACGTTTTTTTAAAGTTTAATAAATGCATGATGTTTCCAAAGTCAATGAGTAATTGTTTTAAATAACCATGATCTAAATGTTTGCCATAATCGAGCATCCCTGCTTCATAAGTGCCATTTGCTAAGGCAAGAATCATTATTATCAATGCTTGGGGTTAGAGATTTGAACAATTTTGAAAGCATTTGCTGCCATCACTGCACACATCCCTGTAATGTGCAGCATGATTTATAGCTTTTAGGATGAGTTAAGTAAGTCAGGTTCTACTTGAGATTCTCTGCAGCTTCTTTTTCCCAGAAAATAGGTCAGTATAAGCTTTAAACTTTGCTTCAGTAGCAATTGAATAGAGATTTGAAGAGACCAAAAATTTGAATGCATCCTCACAATCTCTGGTCTCTTAAGAGGTGTTTGAGTATGTGTCTTCAATTTCATGCCTTCAGTAGATACTCCAGCAGGACATTCCCTATGATAGAGATGTTTTTCTGTGTCTCTGCATGTTAAATGAGCTTACCGGTGTTTATCCCTCTCTTTTCATAGTCCCCGCAGCAGGCAACTCCATCAGGAACTGAGACATGCGAATAATTGAGACACATAATCACATTTAGAATCGTTTAGAAATATTTTAGAGCATAACTAGAACAAATAAATGTCACAGATTTGCATAAACAGGAAGATGAATGAATGAAAATCTGGTCAGGAGCAGAGCATCCAAGTTGTAAACACACACACGCACATACATTCTCTCTCTGTCAATAATTTGGGTGTTAGATTTAGGTCAGACCATTGTGTGTCTCAGTAAGTCACAAAATAATGAGCGCCGCCAGGCTATACATGGTTGTTTAAGAAATTAAAAGCTACACACTCCATCAATTAGGGTTAGAAGAACTGTTGGCTAACATATAACATGCTAGAAACATAACAATCACTGTAATAATGATCCAGTCATAGACTCTTAAGCATTTGCTTATTTAAATCCAAACAGGGACTTTTTTTTTTGTCCGGGCAGTGTATAAATATTTGTATATATTCATAATATTATATAAAAACCTAATATAAAATTATTTAAAAATATATCTATCAGTATTTATAAACGCATGCATGCATTTAACAGTAAAACTTAAAAGGAAAATGAAAAATAAACATAAAAAAATGAATGTGGAGGACTGTGCTTATTTGTCATAAAAAATGGCATAATGCAAACAAATCTTTTCATTGTGGACATGATTTTATGAGATTCATTCATAATTTTCTCCAAAACACTGTCAAATAACCCAAACTCGTTTACATTTTCTTCATAATCAATGGTTCAATATTTCTGAAGATCCTTCATAAGCATCCTAATATTTTGTCTGTCCCCATTTCTTATGCAAGAGGCCTAGATTCACTCCTTACTTGTTTAGACAAACATTTAAACAACCAATAAAAAGGCAGCACTGCTTAGTGCCTCACACTTGTCTCGGGTTTGTTTATTGTGCGCGTGTCCCAGAGGGAGATATGGATGTGTTGCTAAATTTGTCTGGAAGAGAAAGCCGGAGATCTATATATTCAGCACAACTGAAGCTTGCATAAAAAAAGCTTAGTTTTCTTTCACAATTTCTTCTCAATTTTTAAAACTGTGACAATAAAACATTAAAACCCCATACATCTCACACTTTTGCATTTAAGAAGAAAGCATATCACCATTTAAAAATGTTATATTAAAGCCAGTTATACTTACATATTGAATCTATCTCTCGTTGTCTTGACACAACCATTTACACATTGTATCAGTCAGATATCCTGCTAGTTGCCTTTGAGAGAGAAAAGACAATTAGAGATGGAGAGAGAGTGTGGGCAGTGGTGCCAGGGCCAGGGCCAGCAGGGGGATGAGAGGTCATCCCTCCGGAAGAATGCGTCCTCTCATTCTGACAACAAAGACTGCAATTGTGGATGCTGATGGGAGATGGCAGCAAAAACAAAGGGCAATCATCAACAACGTCACCAACTGAAATTTCCAAAACATGAGGAATAATATTAGGCTACCTCAAGAATGAGGCTTTGTTTTTACCAATGTTTAGTTTAGTTTATTAATAAAGCACATTTAAAAACAACAGATGTTGAAACCAAAGTGCTGTACAACAAATAAAGAACATACTAAAAACATCTGAAAAACCAATTGGATGAAAATGATACACCCTCAAACAGAATTAAAACATAAAGAATTAAAACAAATAGATTCTTCAAATAGATTTAAACTGCCTGGTTCAGATTACACGATTTTGGCACGATCAGTTTGACGTAAGTAGTAATACGATGCACCTCTTGTCAATTTGATTGATTGACAGGTAGGCGTGTCTATCCTTTGATCTTCCCCCGCCCCTTCCGGTTCCTCCCCTTCCGGTCCCGCCCCTTGTCCCGCCCCTTCCGGTTCCTCCCCTTCCGGTTACCTTTGACCTAGTTCCGCCCCTTCCTGTTACCTTTGACCTAGTTCCGCCCCTTCCTGTTAAACTTTCTGTCAAAATGATGGATGGCGAGCTTTGACCTAGTTCAGCCCCTTCCTGTTACCTTTGACCTAGTTCCGCCCCTTGCAGTTAAAAAGCTTCTGTCAAAATGATGGATTGTTTGAAGTTTGTTTGATCTAGTTCCGCCCCTTGCGGTTAAAAAGTTTCTGTCAAAATGATGAATTGTTTGATCTAGTTCCGCCCCTTGCAGTTAAAAACTTTCTGTCAAAAATGATGACAGTTTGTCTAATCGTTTGAAGTTTTGTTTTGTCACCGCCCCTTGCAGTTAAAAACTTTCTGTCAAAAATGATGACAGTTTGTCTAATCGTTTGAAGTTTTGCTTGAGATGTATTGGACTTTGTTGTTACAGTTACAAAGCGATGGATTGTTATTTTTTAGCGCATCCCCTCGCTATGCCTAAGCTTATCATAGCAGGTGTGTGTAAAAGTGATAAGAAAAAACTGTAAAAGTGTATCTGTTCTGTAAAAGAATATAAAATAAAATCTTACTAAAACCTCACACAAAAAGTTTAAATAAAATGGAACCACAAAAATATTGCAAACAGTTAAAAATGTATTAGAGAGTTGAAGAAAAAGACATACAGCTTATAAACCAGTGTATGAATGATCTCACACTGACTTAAAACAAAAAGAGGTGCTCTATGTGTGTGTGTGTGTGTGTGTGTGTGTGTGTGTCTTTGTCAGAGCAGTAAAGGATGCGCCGCATGCACTTATCTGTCTGTTTAGATAAAATAAAATAATCTTACATGTTTTACAGAGTTGGAAGAAAAATCCCGCGCTAGAGCCGGATCTCTCTGAAAACTATCTCCAATTATATATTTTTTGGACCGTAGGGAGTTAGGGAGTCGTTTGTCTGTGTGTGTGTGTGTGCGTGTGTGTGTGTGTGTGTGTGTGTGTGCACGCGTATGTTGCAGCGGGATGAATCTCCTCCCCTCCCTCCACATTGCTGGGGACCTTGAAAGTTTATCTCACACAGAAGCTGAAAAACCATGTTGTTCATTTAAAATCTTACTAAATTACTGAAGTTGAAAAGCATTCTGTTCCTTTAAAAGTGTATAAATTAAAATATGTCATATATAAAATAAATAGTTTACTAAATTACTGAAGTTGAAAAGCATTCTGTTTATTTAAAATAAATATTTTACAAATTTACTGTACCAATTATGTTAGATTTAGATAAAAATAAAATCATCTTACATTTTCACCAGGGTTGAAGTAGCTCACATAGATGTCCATATTGACCATTTAAAGTTGAAAAGAACCCCAGAGTATTTCTCTCTTTCTCACACCAGCGTTTGACAGTCAGAGGGGTGTGTTCAGTGATCAGAATGAGACTGTGAATGTTTTGCTAAATTTATTTTCATAGTGTATAAGCATTAAAAGTTTGAAATAGACCTTTTTAAAAATATGATTTTAATTAAATTCAATGAATTCATAAAAAACAAATATGCTATATCGATGGTCTCTGGGGAAAACTTGACTATATTTTTTTATTTATCAGGCTGCATGTAAAGAACTTTGAAATTTGTGGCTCTCACAACTTATCACACACATTGTGTGAAATGTTTAATAATTCCTCAAGTAGTATCTGTGAGAAAACCCCCACATATGGCTATAGTGAGAGAGCTACAATGAAGGCTTTTAGAATCTGTGATGCCTCAGGCCGAGCCCCATTGATAGCCTGCTTATAAGCTCCTTCCGATCACCAGCACATCTTCAGAGAAATACGTTACTTTACAATAATGTTAGCTTCAGGATATAGGGTGACAGAGCAGATGAGCCTCTGTGCATCATGTAATGTTAGTCTGCTAACGCCTTTCCAGAGCCAAAGTTTTGTTCGTACTAAATTTATTTTAAAGCATAATCGTAAAAGTTTAAATATGATCTTTTAAAAATGAAAAGATTGTTTAAATTAAATCTTTATAGTTTTAATACATTCGTATCTTTTACAAGATTACTGTAATGATTTTGTTTAATGGCGACCTAAAGTATAATTGTTATTAATATAGCCATAATGATTTTTGAACTGTAACAGTATATTCTACCCCGTACACCTAAACACGACCATCACAGAAAACTGCATTTTTACATTGTTTTTTACATACTGTTTTGCACTAAGTTGGTTCCATAAAATCAAATAAAGTATATAACTCAATGTATAATGACAAATTTATTCAAACTATTTAACCTTAGTTTTAGCTAAATTAATATAGCCTATATAAAAATTATATATATAAATATAAAATATAAAAACTCCTTACATTTTCATAGAACTGAAGAAGTAGTAGAAACTAACAATTAGTTTTAGATGTCATAAACAAAAACCCACCCAGATCCTTCAGGGATAAACTACAGGGTGAGATGAAGCTTCACACCCTCACAGAGACGAGAGGAGTGACAGTCCAGATGAGCCTCTGGGGTCACAATGCCCCAGCATATGCAATGCTAGTCTGCTTTTCAGAGGTTTATTCATATTAAACTCGTTTAAAAGCATAATCTTAAAAGTTTAAATTAGATCTTTTAAAATTAAAAGACTGTTTAAATCAAATCTTTAAAGTTTTATTAAAACCGTATCTTCTATTTATCTTACAAGATATTCAACTTCTCTACTTCTGTATGATATAAATGATTTGCATAAATTTAACCTAAGGTATTATTTTTACTAAACATCGTTTGTTCAAAAATAAAATCAAAAATGTTATAAATCAAGAACTGTGCTTTGGAGTCTTAGATCTCATTTCAAATAGTTTTTTTTTTGTACATGTTTAAACATGTTGTCAAAGTTTGTCACAATGTTTTTGTTTTAAAAGAAATCCCAGGACTCTACATTGCTCTTATTTAGATTAAGGTGTATCATTTAGAAAATCACCACACATTTTCAGAGACGCGATGTGCCTCTGTGCTCCATGACGCAGCATAAGTTTGTCTTGAGCGAATATTTAATTTTACTCGTCTTAATTCAAAGCATGATCTTACTTTTTCTGCGGTAGCTATGACCTATTGTACGTATAAGATATATCATTTTTACTTTTCTTGCATCTCTCAAACTATCCTTATTCATTGTGGAAGCACA